GCTGCTGGTCAGTTTCAGCAGCAGCTGAATGGGGGAAGCCTGTCCGGCTGCCCCAGCACTTCCGGGTTCCTGATGGTGCCGGACCATCAGGAGTCCCAGAGCATTGGATGCCGGACTAATGGAGTTTTACTGTATTTACAAAATGTATTTCAAATGCATGATAGCATTAAAAGTTTTCAAAGTGGGGTTAAAATTATGTAACGTGGTTATGTTACCATCTCTGTTTTTGAAAAAGGGGATAATAGTGCTACATTGCTACTAATAGATGTGTTGAGGAAAAATTAATTAGTAATCAAACACTCTCTAAAAAGAATACTACTATATATGATTCTGAATTACTAAAGTGACATTAAGAATGAATGGTGCTTTATGAGGCTGGTAGGGTGGAAAGCACACATTAGCTGAGATTAACCAGTACAAATCCCATATGTTGCTCTGTGCATTCTGGTTTTCTCATTACCACAGCCCATCTTGTAAACTGAATCAGCAGTTTCATATCCCCTGTGTAAATTGTACTAACCTTAATCCATCCTCGGATCTGCTAAAGCCTTTATCACTATGCAACACACAATGAAACTTGCAGCATTGCTGATCTCAACAGCTGATCTGATCTGCACTAAAAGAATAAAATGCAGTTAATAACAACCAAGGCACTATAAAACTATGGCTGCAACTCCCACTGCAAAAGTCACATTGCCTGTTCACTGATGTTTAAATACATTACATTTCTCCTTGTACAGGTGAATTGCAGCCCTATGCTGCAAAACTATTCCATATACCTATTCTTTTCTGAAGTAGTAAGTAATTAATTTCCTAAGTCTAAAATGGATAACTAGCTGCAAAGTAGTAACAATAGCATTTGTTTCAGGACATAGATTAGTAGTAGCAGCTCTATCAAAATGGTCCAGATAGGCCTGAAGACAAAACTGTGAGGATTCCAAGTTCCTTACACTCTGGATCCATAGAACAATAGTGCTTAACACAGAGCCCTGGGCTAAAGTTATTCACACACAATGGCTGGGAAACTATATGACTTTGGGGAACAGAGCGGTGGCTGTTTGCTGCTCAATGGAGGTGGGAGATGGATGGGTTAGCCTTGAACATCTGTCGCTCTCAGGCTCAGGAAATCCACAGGCCACAAATTTCTACATTGCTTCTTGGATTCACTTGACTCCATGATCACATGGCTCCAATGAGCAGATGCCCCTAGAATCACCTGAGTGCAATTTTAATTTGCTCAGTATTCTTTTGCACTAGGTTGGAGCAAAGGTTCGGTGATGGTAATGTGACCTCAACCCCATTCCTTTTAGATGCAAGGGAAAGCCTTTTCCTCACCCTATACCTATCCCAACGATAAACAGATTTGTATTTTGTTCCACTCGTATACTTCTTAGAGGGGTTCAGGATTATGAAGATGGTGGTGTTTTGTGTCTTAAAACTGAATGTGAGAATAATAGTCTCTTGTTTGGGTGGGGGGAACTTAGAAGTGTGTTAAATTTAAATTTTGGGGCTAAGTGATAACTTTATAGTAGTACACTTGTCCATAGTAAATTGAATGATCAGCATGATTTGGATTTAAATGAAACTAAAAAAGGGATGCTCTGGCATAGACATGAGGTTTTACAGTCAACTGCAGGGGAAAATTGCCATTACCACTGCAATAGGTACATTGGTGAGGGTGGGGAGAGGTAAACTCATATGAGTGCTGATCATTGGCAGAGTGGCACAGAGAGATCTGCAAAGGCGTTGCTCTAGGTAAAAAAACAAAACCTTCCATCTCTAAGCCTAGCAATGAATTCACCCTTTCACTAGCACTAAAATTACTTTAAAAATGAAATAAAAAATGCAATGAAAAGTGAAAGCTACAATGCAGAGAAAGGCTTGAGTTTCCCAGTTACACAGCTTTGGGGGCTTAGCTGCTGCAGCCTGAGACACTATGTCTCCTGGAGAGAAACAGAGGATTCTGCACAGGGACTCAGAACTATTTATAGCTCTTCTGCAGGCCCTGCAGCTGGAGAAAACTCATGCTGCTTCATGTGCTCTGTGTACCAATGCAGCGAAGAGCGGGAGTGCTGAGAAGATGCAAAGGGTGAGGAAGGAAACTTAGAAAAGCTTTAGGCAGAAATCCCCATATGCTACATGGGCTTCCTGCGCCATCCCTGCCAACCAGCTTGTGCACAGGAGTCCAATTCGGAGGACGTTTGCAAGGGGAGGAATTTGAGTTTGGAAGGGGCTGAGTCCTTGAGACAGAGTCTCATGTGCATTGTAAGATGGAAATGTTTAAAGACCACTGTGTGGTCTTTGGTACCTGGAAGCAGCCTCATGGACTACAGGACTGCCAACCCTAGCTGTGCGTCTGTGGGACGCTGGAGGGACAAGATGGGTGAGGCAGTAGCTTTTATTGGACCAACCTCTGTTGGTGAGTCAAGCGTCCCAGCTATACAACAGAGCTCTTCTTCGGGTCCCTCTGTAGGACTGGAGCCTAAATCCTGCTGCTCAGCCGGCCAGGCTGGAGGTGAATCACTGCGGGCTCGGGACCCAGTTGCAGGCGGGGGACACGTTGTGGGTGGTGGCTTTGCGGTGGACACGGGAGTTGGCTGAGTGGCTCGACCTCTGTTGGTGAGTCAAGCGTCCCAGCTATACAACAGAGCTCTTCTTCGGGTCCCTCTGTAGGACTGGAGCCTAAATCCTGCTGCTCAGCCGGCCAGGCTGGAGGTGAATCACTGCGGGCTCGGGACCCAGTTGCAGGCGGGGGACACGTTGTGGGTGGTGGCTTTGCGGTGGACACGGGAGTTGGCTGAGTGGCTCGGACAAGGGCAGCCGCCCCACAGTGCGCACGCGCGGGATTTCAGCGCATGCGCGTTATCTAAGTCTTTGCTGTAGAGCGGGAGGGGGAGAATGTGAACCGGCTCCAGTCACCAGAGCCAGAGCGCGGCTGCGGCTCCTCCCCCTCCCCTGGGGGGGTCTCCCATACGCGGCGGCGCTGCCGGCCGGCTCCCCTCCCCCTCCATCCCGGCGGAGGTGACAGGAGCCCGGGG